AGCCCCAAAAAGGAACCCTAAACCCTAAACCCTACCTAAGCCCTAAACCCTACCTAAGCCCTAAACATGGATTCTGGGGCTTCGGGCTGGAGCGATCTGAGCCTGGAGTCCTCGATTCCGGAGGCCCCAAGCTCAAGATTGCGGACTTGAAGGGAAAGGCCGGGTGTGCAAGGTTTTGCCAGGGTTGGTTTAGGGTTTAGGGTTTAGGGTTTAGGGTTTAGGGTTTAGGGTTTAGGGTTGGTGGTTTCCGCAAGGCTTTTCAGAGTTTCAGGGGGTAATGTGTGCCTTGAAGGCGATGGTTCAGGGATTTGGGGGTTCTTGGGGTCACAGGGCTTTGGCTTTCAGGGGTTTAGTGTTTCGCATGTTTGTTCTGTTGGCGATAGCAGTATTTGTTTTCCATGTCCGTTCTCATGGTTCCCTTCAATGCCCTTGGCCCAGGAATATTTCCTAAATCATAGTAAGCGACCCTTGAGAATTGAAGAATACTCCCTAGTCGAGGCATGGTGCAGAAGCTTACATTGCTTAAGAGAACATAAGTTAAGAAAGATTCCTTCATCTTCTCTAAACCCTAAACCCTAAACCCTAAACCCCATTAACAAACATGAGCACCTAATGGGTAGTTGTCTAAATTAGGGTCCCTGTCAGGGTCCTTTTAATAAGGGTGCCGTACTATGTTAGGGGCTGAAACGGGGCCCTAATTTAGAGAACCACCCGAATGTACGGACTATTCCTGAACCAAGCGGCTTTGATCCTCTGAGTTGCTCCAGGTGGCGATCATCTCGGGAGCCACGCGTGGCATAGGAAAGGCCGAAGCTAGGGATCAGGGCTGGGGGCGTTTAGGGATTAGGGTTGGGGTGTTTAGGGTTTGGGGTTTAGGTGTTTGAGGTTTTTAGGGTTTAGGGTTGGGGTGTTTAGGGTTTAGGGTTTGATGGCGGATCCCAAACCAAGCTGGATTATTCCACCCTCGCTTGCAGGTCCTGAGTTTGGCCGTGTGAGAGTTTCGGATTTAGTGTAAGGCCTTGGGCTTCTGGTGAGGTGTGGAGCTTACGGTAGTTACCCATAGGCCCCATAGTAGTTCCTTTTGGGGGTTCATACTTAGAATCCTATACCCTAAACCCTAAACCCTAAACCCTAAACCTATAAGGTATTCCCAAAAAAGGAACTACTATGGGGCCTATGGGTACAGTAGTGCAACAGACCAGAAGACTTCACACTTAGACGCCAAGGACACCGAATGAAACCCCTAATTAAGCCCGAAGATTTTAGGGTTTAGGGTTTAGGGTTTAGGGTTTAGGGTTTCAAACCTCTAAACCCCGTCCTACACCCTGAACTCTGAACCCTGAACACGAAGCCCTAAACCCTGAACTCTGAACCCAAACCCCTCTTCCCGAAGCCCTTGAACCCTCAAATCCCCAACGCTCCCTGCCTGGAGCTTTCAACTTGAATCTCAGTCGAGCACACGAGTTTAGGACTTGAGGGTTTAAGAGTTACCAGGCACGTGAGTAATCGGTCCGAAGCTCCAAAAGCCTAAAATTCCGGGGCCCGAGTTCTGAAACCCCCATCGGTTGCACTTCAGCTTTCGATGACCTACTCTCGGAGGTTTGAGCCTTCTGATCGTTTCTGGCCTGGGGTAGATAGAGGTTGACCTACTTCAGTGCTCGGAATAATGAGCTGGTTCTTCCTGAGGGTTCCTTGATATAACCATATACCAACATATACCCCAATGCAATGTTCTTAGTTTCAAAGGCCCCTGCATTCAGACGCCAGCTCGAGACATCCTATTGCGGGATATGGAATGCCAGAGGTATGCAAGGACAGGGCTGAATGATCTTGGTGGTAAGTTCCGGCTGTTGAGGATGGGGGGGACGCCGAAGGTCGAAGGTGCCTCAATGAGAGGATCCCCTCATCATCAACAGGGTATAAGGGCCATTTGCTACGAGGCATGCGCAGTTGCTTTGGCGAAGCAGGCATGGGCTCTTCTGCCAGGTCATTGGGCTTTCGGAGTCCGGGTCTTCCGATGTCTGGTGTTGCTGTTGGAGGCGTTAGGGTTTAAGATGTTGCATGTTGGAGTAAGTTGTGAGTTTTGTGCGCTGGAAATGCACAGACTATATCATGTTGGTGGGATGCGCGAGCGACTGTGCACTTAGACGGTCGTTGTGGGAGTACGGTGTACAGAGAGCTCAGCGTTGCTCCGACTGCATCAGAGATGCTCCACCGCAAAGCCCCAGAGGTCAAGACATGTGCGAACTTCTAGACCAAAGCCCGAAACATCCAGCCGCAATTCCGGAAAGCATTAAGTAACATTGCGATTCATAAACACGTAGAGCTCTAGCTCGAGCCCCAAATTCTAAACCACTAGTTCCATCTGACCCCTGCTCCCTCGCCAGCATCTCGAGCCTTTGGTTGCTCCGATGCTCCAGCAATTCATACACGCTAGACCACTCGTGCCTACTCCTGCTGCCCAGCATGGACTCACAGATTTCGAGTTGCATCTCCATGTAGAAGGCAGTCCAGACAGCATTCCAGGCTATATTTCTCGTATTGACGGATCGAAAGATCAGAGTTTGGGGCCGGCAGGGCTGCAACATCGTGGTTGCAGCCAAGACGACAACTCCGCAGCCCACTTTGCCAGGTGCCAGGGTGTTGCGTTGAGCCAGATCCTGCAACGCCGAATCGACAGTTGTGAAGCCGACCGAGAAAATAGCTACGGAGAGCAGTGAGAAGAGTAAGAACTGTCGGCATATTGCTGATGATGTTATACATGAGGCTTTTCCCGTGCCCCTACCCTGCACCCCTCTATTCTGGCTTTCACTGTTGCCATCCTTCTGTTGTT